TAATATTTGTAATAAGAAAATTAAAATTATTGTTAAGTATTTAATATTTGTGTATCACAGACATTAGTTTGATTTAAATTTGTATTGTCTTTTAAATTTAATAAAAACATTTGAAAAAATGTCATTAGAAGTATTAATATTTAAATTTACACAAGATGATTCATTAAGCATAATGGTTATTTAGTGGTAAAATAATAGTGTTATTACTATTCCATCACTAAAGATCAGAAATACTTGATGAATCTCCTTGTGATTACAAAGAGCAATATTAAAGTTCTGTAGAATTGTTAAAAGCTATTACACATTCTTTGCTACACAACGGACGCTTTTCTTTTTTAACCGTGAACTTTTTACCTAAAAGCGACGTGTAACACTGATAACACTTAAAACATGCTGGAGACTCATGCCAACTCAACTCTTGCCAACCAATCCTATTTTCACCAGCTACTATAATATTTTGACAGGTTTCACATTTCTAAACAAAATTATAAACACTCATTTATAAAATATATTGCATTATAAAAGTATTTTATYGTTTGATGTAGATACATACYTTTCCATATTTTGTTTGATAACAATCCAAACATACGGGTTGTTTTTCAATTGACACATATTCTAATCCAGCTAATGGTTTGTCACATTCAAAACAACAAAAATGACGAACATGATAGGTATGTTCCTCGGCAATTGTGTACTCTTTCAAAAATATTAACTAGAAAATAAATATATAATTTAATGATAACTATGGTTTAAAAATGTAAATTATTATAGTGCTATCTCACCTCATCACAAGCATTACATCTAGGTATATTTAAGATTTCAGCATAATGTCTACCACAATAAACATTCCCATTGAAGTAAAAGTATACTAGATCAACCAATAGTTCCTATAAAAAACATAAAAAATAAATATTGGTAGAATATTTGAATATTACTCTAATATTTTAAATAATTCACCTCGCATGTAGCACAAACAAAACAGGATGGATGCCAAAACACTTCCTTTCCAGTGCGTTCAGCCATTACAGCTACTTGACCTGGTATTACATTCTTATTACATTGCTTACAACGCAACTCTTGTCCATCTGATAGTATACATTTATCAGCATTAAATGTTGGGAATTCATTTGAACGTTCCAAAAGTGGATTTTTTAATGTTTCACTAGTATGTTTATCATGTAATTTAGGTGTGAAATTATCATTCTGAATGTTTGAAGAGAAATTTGTCTGTTGTTGGGGTAAAGTTTCTGATTTAGCAATRTTTGATGTTGGCCATTGTGAAGAAATAATTTGCCTGTTGCATTCAGCTGGATTGTTATTAACAGTGTCTAAGATATTGACGTCTGGTTTGTTAGTTGCAGAATAGCTTTTGTTTCCAATAAATGTACTTGGTGTCTTTAATTCAGAGTTGGACAGCGGATACAAAAGTTCTGGAGGAGGAGGAGGAAATTCTTCTTCAACTTGTTGGTCATAAGTTTTTTTAAATGGTTTGGGTGTAAGATTCATATTTTTAAACAATGGAATTGGATTATTAGTGTTATCAGTAAGTTTTTTGACCAAGCCTTGACCAACAGCATTCTCCTTTAAATTTTTTAAATATGAACCCATAGCATCAGCTTCTTCAATGGTAAGATCATGACATGCATTTGCATTAAAATCATGTAAAGGAACTTGTTTTTCAAGCTGTTTGCGTCTGTAAAAAGCTCCTTCACTACCACTAATAGGTAGTTTGTCAGATGGTAACAACTGCATGTATTCTGAAGCTAGATCTTTATGAACATTTGGTGGGACCCAATCAAATTTAAATTCATTTTGATTTTGATTTTGATCAGTTTCTCGTTTTTTGGCGAATTGATCATCAGGCTTAATAATCATATTCAACACTGAAATAAAAACATTAAGCCAGTTAATACATATACATACATACAACTATTTATATTGCAATACTATACCTGCTTTTATTGGTTGGTAATTTGATTTTGAATCGTTAAACAAAATATCTAATTGTTTATATTGATCTTCATCTACAATATTATGTTCTTCTCTTTTACATTTACAATTCCTACACACTTTTCGCCAAAAATGTAAATCCAAGCCAGGGCAAGCATCTCCACATTTTAAACAACTTGAACCAGATCCAACTTCATGAGCTAGTTTATGAAACTAAAAAATAAAGTAATAAAGTATTATTAAATAATATCAATGATTAAAATATAAACTTCCAATCAATTTTAKCAATGATAGTACTTATGCGTATGCCAAGTAATTTTTCATTAATAAAATATAAAAATTAAAAATTATCAGGAAAAAACAAATAAAAACCTAATCAACAGGTTAGGATATAAGGAAGGTAACTCTATTATTAACATATTTTTTACAACGTATGTAATTCTATACTTCGTTCCAATAGAGAATATACCAAGCAACGACTGGTGGAAAGAAAATAATGTGCACAGAACTGGTATATTTTCTTTAGGGACGGAGATTAGTACCAAAGTTTATACAAAGTAAAATATACAGGGGGGGGGTATAAATCATAACTCGTAATAAACATACTTAAATAACAAATTAAAAACTTTAAGTATAATCTATAAAATGTGTCATTCAATATCTATTTTAGATGTTGAACCATCACTTTATACGAGCATAACAGTCAGTTTCCATATAACTTATTAAAAAATAATTAAAATTTCTAACAAAAAC